GAATAGCTCAGAGACCGAGAGTGGAGAAAAAAATGCTCAGTATCCAAAAGATATAGGAAAAGAGAGAAAAAATTAAAAAAAAAATGAATGAAATAAACAAAATGAGTAGTAGACTTAACCCAACTTTATCTATGATTATGTTTATTGTAAATGGTTTAACAGCTCCAATTGAAAGGCTGAAATTGCCAAAATTGATAAATGCTGCCAATAAGAAACCTGCTCCAAATAGAGACACAGATATATTCAAAGTAAAAGGACGGAAAGCGTATAACATGTGAGTATTAAGTCTAAGAAAGCCCAGGTAGCTGTATTAACAGGAGATAAGGATGATATAATGGAACCAAGGATAAAGCCCACATTTTCCTAAGGCTAAAGGGACTGACCCATTAAGAAGATACAACAATCCTAAATAAGTATGCACCCAATAACAGGAATAGAAAATGCACAAAGCACAACCTGACAAACTGAGAAAAGACGTGAACACATCACAAGGGACTCGGATCTTTCAATACCCATCTTCCAGCAATTGATAGAACAAGTAGACAGAAAAATAAAGATACAGGAGACTTGTACTACATTATCAATTAACTTGACCTAACTGATACTGGTGGAGTATTCCACCCAATAACAGCAGGATACACACTCTTGCCAGGTGTATCTGGAACAGTCACCAAGATACACCATGCATCTCAATAAATTAAAAAAAGACAGGAGTCAAACAGGGTCCACTTTTGAGCACAATGGAATTAACTTAGAAATCAGTAACAGAAAGATAACTGGAAAATATACAACCATTTGAAAATCAAACATACACTTCTAAATAACAAGTGGATCTGAGTAGGAACTACAAGGTAAATCAGAAAATATTTTGAGCTGGATAAAAATGAAAACACAACACATCAAAACCTATGAGATGCAGCTAAGTTGTACTTAGAGAGATATTTTTAACTTCAAATTATTATGTAAAAAAGAGAAAGATCTAAAATTAATGATCGAAGCTTCCACCTTTGGAAGCCAGAAAAAGAGGAGCAAACTAGACACAGGGTGGGTAGAAGGAAGGAAATAAAAAGGTAAGAGGAGAAATCATTGAAATAGGAACCAGACAGACAATGGAGAAAACCAATGAAGTTCCAGGCTAGCTCTTAGAAAAAAGAAGTCAATAAAATGTATAAATCAGATGGATTAACTGATTAAAAAGAGAGAAGATATAAATTAGTAGTATCCTGAAAGAAAGAGCAGGTCTTACTCCAATCCCATAGACATAAAAGCGATGGCAAGGACTTGCCAAGCTCCACCATACCAACAGATTCTCAGATGAATCTTCACTGGAATGGGCACCACTTCCTAAAGTCAATCCCAAGTACACAGAAAACCCAGACATACTTATCTCTTAAAGACACTGAATTCATAGTTTAAAACCTTCCCACAAAGAAACTCCAAGCACAGAGGATTCACTGGTGAATTCTATGAAACACTTAAGGTAGAAACAGTGCCACCCCTATACAAACTCTTCCAGAAGGCAGGAAGGTGGAGCACTTCCCTCATCCCATGAGGCCAGCATCACCCTAAAACCCAAACCAGTTGAACATATTGTAAAAAAATAAGACTATGGATCCCTTGTTGATATAGACACAAAAATCTTTCATAAAACATTTGTAAATTGAATTCAAAACAAAGAGACAATACGCCATGGCCAAATAGAGTTTATACTGGGAATTCAAGGTTAAAGTTTAAAATCAATCAACAGATCCACCACTAACAGAACAGAGGAGTAAAAAACACGATCATCTCAATAGAGGCAGGAAAAGTATTTGACAAAATCCAACACGAATTTATGATTAAAACTCTCAACCAATTAGGAATTAAGAAAAAAAATCCTCAACCTGATAAAAAACCCTACAGCTAACATCATAACTCATGTTGGAAAACTTCACATTCTCTCTAACATGAGAACAGAGCCAAGAATCTGCATTCTCACACCTTATACTTCTCTTGTACTAGATACCCTAGCTAGAGCAACAAGTCAAGACCCCAAGAAACAAAAGAACCAGAAGACATCCAGATCTAAAAGGAAGAAGCAATTCTCTATTGGCAGATGTACAAAATCATAAGAAATCTACAAGAAGGCACTAGATCTGCTAAGTGAATTTAGTTAAGTCAATATACAAAGCCAATTATATTTTTAGAAACAAAAAACTGCTGGGAATTGGCCTAAAAATCTATTGACAATAGCATTACAAATATTAAATACTTAGTGATAAATTTATCAACATCTATTCAAGAACTTTACCCTGACGACTATAATATGTTGAGAGATATTAAGAGAAACCTAAGTAAATCGAGAGATGCCATATTCATGAATTAGAAGACTCAACATTATAGATAGTAATTCTTTTCGAGTGTTCTATGTATTCAATACAATTTCAAGGTCCCAGCAGCCTTTTTTTTTTTTTTTAGTAGCAACTGACAGACGGATTCTAAAATTTATGTGAAAATAAAAGGAACTTGGGATAAGCAAAATATTTTTGAAAAAGAAGAAAGAAATCAGAGGACTTGCTGGTTTCACGACTTACCGTGAATGCACAGTAATCAAGACAGCGTGGCAGGGGTTTGAGTGCAGACGTGTAGTCAGTTGATGGAACAGGACAGTGAGTCCACAGAAAGACTCACACATACATGGTCAACTGAGTGTTGACGAGGATGTCACGATAATTCACTGGGGGAAAGGACTGTCTTTCCGACAAACGTTCTGGAGCAAGTGGATATCCACACAGAGAGAATGAACGTCAGTCCCTTTCTCCCCCACCTGAAGGAGGGCTGGACTGAGCAATGCCTTCCAAAGAATAGAGTAAGGAAGGGGAAAGACGGTAACTTCACAGTGGAGAGGGCAATGAGTCAAGAGGATATCTTGGACCTCCTCATTCTTTCCCCAAATCCACACCCCTGGGCTGAGCATGAGAAAAACATCAGACAATTCTGAGGCCAAGCAAGGGGAGTGTGAGCACCTGCGAGACCAGGGCCAACCGGGAAGACCCATCGATGAGCACACGACGGGCTGGACCACGGCTCGGACGCTGGAGCGGAAAAAAGACATTAGGAGAAAAACTAGTGAAATCCGAATAAAGTATGGGGTTTAGTTAAAAACAATGTAAAAAATATCACATTTGTTACCAAGTCAAGGGCTCGAGTACCTTTCACGTTAAAAAGGAATTGTCATCCTAGAATAAGTTAGAACTCCTACTTTATTCTAACATCTACTATCAAAAGGATTGAATTAAGAGTTTTCAAAGAGCTTCTCAAGCATTAAAGAGTATTTAAAGCAACCAGTGCCCATGTGTAAACACTGTCAAGTGTCAAGACGAGAAAAGGCCCATATGCCTCAGTCCCTCATCACTCGCGGCCCAGCACCCGGCAACAGGTGGCTTCAGAATCTGTTCTTCTGAATCTTACAAAAAATCAATCTTATAAAGAAATAAAAATTAAGTTAACTTCACAGTTTAAAAAGGAAAATTTGGCTAGGCCATACACAAAAGTCAGCTTGAAATGGATCACAGACCTAAATGTGCAAGCTAAAAAAAATAAAACTTTTAGAAGAAAGCATGGCCGATGACCCCACAGATAGGGGATGAACTAAGACTTCTTAGGGCGCCCAAAGCAAAACCATAAAAGAACAAAATGGGTCCTCCAGGCCTAAATCAGAATCTAATACTTCTACTCACTGAAAGGCTCTAACAGGAAAACGAAACAGTGAGTCAGGCGGAGAGAAAATATTCACAAGACACATCTGACTAACAGGGTGTGTCCGACTGATCAGGAGCACTCACTATTTGACAGTACGGGAAACAGGTCTCGACGACCGCGGAAGTTCACGGAAGAAGATTTATGACCGGTTAGCAAATACTTTCCCCCTCGTTAGTCACTAGGGAAACACAAATTCAAACCCAATGCAGTATCACCACACCCCCATTAGAATGGTTCACATAAAAGGGGCAGACAGTTCCAAGTGCAGACGAGGAGCGCGCGCACCGTGGGTGGGAATGCAAGATGGTGCTGCCACTTTGGGAAAAAGGGATTAGGGTATTTTTTTTTTTTTAAGTGAAACAAATACAATCCTGTTCAATCCAAGAGAAATGAGAATATGTGTCCCCACAGAGGCATGCACTTGAACGCTCACAGCAGCCTTATTCATAAAGGCCGCAGACTGGAAATAACCCCGGGTGTCCTTCAGCAGGTGGATGGGTAGTCACACTGCGGTCCGGCCACACCACGAAACCTCCCCACCAATAAAAAGGAGTGAGTTCCTGGGACACCCAACACACAGACAAGTCTCAAAGACGTTAGGCTGAGTCAGAAAGTCAGAAAGGAGCACACGTACTATGGGCTATCTTTTATACGACGCTCTGGGAAAGACAAATCTACGGTGTCAGAAGGCGGGTCAGCTGCTGACAGAGAGCAGGGGTCGAGGGAGGGGGTTCCCTGGGCAGGGGCACAGAAGAACCTTTTCAGGTAATATAAATGTTCTGTGTCTTGATTCTGGTTAACAGTTACGGGGGCGGGGATACATTTTTCAAAGCTCATCAAAATCTACACTTAAATGGGAACATTTTATGATGCATGAATCATACATAAATAAGGGAAATAAAAGATCCAAAAGGAAATGGGTTTTAGCAAAACAACACCACCGGCTACACGAAGCATCCTGGGGGCTGGGGGCTGCAGATGGCCCACCTTGGCGGCTCACGGTCTGAGTGAGCAGGACAGGCCCTGTGTCCAGGACGACACGGGCGGAACGTCACCCAGTGCCCTCTGAGTCAGTAAGGGACAGCATGGGAGGGAGGTCCCCAAGGGGCTGTCAAGGGTGGAGTCTAAGATAGGGCTTTGGATTCTGTAACAGCACAGGGTTTTAGATTCAAACGCTTACCTAATAAATATTCAATCACAGGGGCAGCCTGGAGCCTTCTTTTTTTCTTTTAATTTTAAAAATGATAGCAGGGCCTTACCAGACAATTGCTTGACGGCCACAGGTCTCACTTTGTAGGGAGTGCTGGAAGACAGAAGACAGTTCCCCTGTGAGATGCCGTCAAAGGTGTTCTTGGCGCATCTGCTGTGAGAGATAAGCCGCTCGGGATAAATTAGAATTCAGTGGATTAGGGTTATTTATCTACTTTTTTTTCTGAAATTAGTTTCTTTGGCAGTTCTGAGCTTCCTCGTTCGGAAGAACTCCAGATACTTTAAATATATCATTTAAATGATGAACTTCCTCTGTGATGTTCCTATTTGGTGAACTGAACACATTTTGTGGTCAGCACCACGGCTACTCGGGTGTGGAAGACCACTAGAACTGCTCAAGTCCACCGGGCGGACGCCCGACTGATGCGGGAGGCTCTCTGTCCCGGGCCCGGCTCGAGCTCACGGCAACTGCATCTCCCAGGTGCACGAGGGAAGACAGGGTGGGTCCCTCGGCTGAACACGCACTTGGTGAGGCCATCCCAGCGGTCCCGAGGCCCAGAGCAGATGGGAGAATGTTTGCCCCTGACACACAAGGACCTACGGCAGAGAGGGAGGGAGAGACAATGGAGCCACGGAGAAGAGGTCAAAAAGAGCAGGAATACGCAATAGCTGGTGAGAGTTTTTAAGAAAGGCTCAAGAGAGATGCCGTTTTTTACCTAGTAGTTTAGCAAAGTTTCAACAGGCAGGCTGCAGGGGCCCAGGGAGACGTGCTACTGCGTTGCTGGCCGGGGCGCGCACCCCCACGGTCCTGGGGAAGGGGCCTGGCGGGACTGGTTGACGGAAGATGTTCAGTCCTCTGACTCAGCCCATGAATTCAGGAACAAGGGTATCAGATGAAACACTGGCCCCTGGGGACACCCTCACACGTCATTTGTCCATGTCATCTGTTTGTCCGTTCGGTTGTTTGTCACGAGTGCTCTCTGGGATCAGGTACAGGTCACAGAACAGTGACCAGGACAAAATGCTCCTGTCCTCAGGGATCCGACAGTCCATGTTCAACTACACCCTGAGGATGGGTATCACCGCACTGTTTGAACGGCAGAGAGCTTTAAATTTTCAGCCCCGGTCAGCAGGGCACTGCGTATCTACTCGCTGTTCCGTGCAGTGTCAGTCCGTGGTCAGAAAGGGAGATATGTGTGCAGGTGTGGACCTGAGGGGCTGGTGGGCGGACTGAGCATGTTATGGACTAACAGAGAACAAGCACAGAAAATCTGGAGAGACTCCGACGTACCCCACTGCTAGCAGGGATCGATGGGGATACCTGTGGTTTAACAGGTACAGGCCACGTGGAAAACTCTGACCATTGAAAACACAAATAAAGTATAAAATAAAAACTGGACGGCAGAGTTATCCTGGATGATGGACGGACGGCTCCACGAGGGTCCCTCCCGGCACAGAGTGTCGAGATTCGCGTCCACGCCATCACCTCTCCCCTGGGAATACCCTGCTCTCACTTAGGAAAGGGCCCTGCCTCAGAAGGTCTTCTGGAAGTTGGTTACTTGGAACTAGGGGTTCATTTCCCTAGAGACTGTGTCACAATGTGTCTGGGTTCCGGCAGCTCAGGTAACACATTTTATTTATTTATTTATTTATTTAAAGATTTTATTTATTTACTTGACAGAGAGAGACACAGCGAGAGAGGGAACACAAGCAGGGGGAGTGGGAGAGGGAGAAGCAGGCTCCCCGCAGGGCAGGGAGCCTGATGTGGGACTCGATCCCAGGACCCTGGGATCATGACCTGAGCCGAAGGCAGTCGCTTAACCGACTGAGCCACCCAGGCGCCCAGGTAACACGTTTTAAATCCGTGTGGGTTTGAACACTTTCTTACATTTTCCACACTTTCCATCAGTGGCCCTCGCCCAGGGCTGCCCACTGGAATCACCTGGTGAGCCTTAAGCACTCCCTCAAAACTCCACATTGAATGGGTTCTAGCAGGGGTCTGGGCATCGGTGCCTTTGTGAAGATCTCGGGTGGTTTTAGTCCTCGGCAGGGCTGAAAGTCACTGGGTTAGCGGGACTGGTTATCCTGGAACAGACGGGACCCCCTGGCAGCGGGAACGAAGAGAACCAGAGCAGACGGGGCCGTGCTGGGGGCCGCTAGGATGTGACCTGGGAAGGGGGACGGGTGCGGGGCTGAGCAGGATGCCCCTGAGCGCACCCACCTCCCCTGGGCGGACGGTGGGAAGCAGACAGAGGCAGCAGGGAAGCCAGTGGAGGAAAAGGAGGTCCCATCAATGGAGGGGGCACAGGGTTCCCACCCAGCATCATCAGCAGCACCTGGGAGCCCAGAGAAAAGCAAGTTCTGGGGCTCAGCCCCAGAGAGACGGAGAGTCAGAACCTGGGGGCAGAGAGAGGGAGGGGGGAGGGGCAGCCTCCGCGGAGCTGGGTCGGGGGTTGGTGACCTTTGAGCGGATAGCCAGTAGCTCTGTAAAGAGAAAACGCCGAGAGGGCTTCTGGACCTCGGCACCCCTGGCATTTCGGGCAGTGAGTGTCGGTGCTGGGGCCATCCTGCGCACAGTAGGGCCGGTAGCAACAGCTCTGGTCTCTGGCCGCCGCATGTCAGCGTGCCCCCCGTCTATGGTGGCCAGAATGTCTCCAGACGCAGCCCAGTGTCCCCTGGGGAGCAAAACCGCCCCTGCCGACAGCCTCTGGCAGGGAGTAAAGTGCTAGGCAGACACAGTTTTGCTCAGAGAGCAGGTCACACTGTGTGCCGAAGGGGCCCTGGTTGGAGTGAAACATCTGCCCTGACCTCGCGGACGTCAGGGGTGACCAGTCGCTGGAGACCTCGCTTCCGAGGCGCTGTCCGGTCGGGCCGGGGTGGGTGTGCCAGGATTTATAAGGATCTCACCGGAGTCGTTGGGGAGCTGGTCAGCTCTGCTCCTTTCGGGGAGCCCCGAGCTGATAATCAGAGCCAGAGGGTGTGGGGCAGGAGCTTCTGATGGACGAAATTTGGGAAGACTGATGGGCACAGTTGGCGAGGGGGCCCAGTGGAGGCATCTGGGGGCACGGAGGATGCTGCCCGCCACGGACCACGGAGCCCGAGGGACGGTGTGGCTGGGAGGCTCGTGATGGCATTGTACCTCCCACGGGGTCTGTCTGGCCTTCTGCACTGAAGCCTTAGCTGTGCCCCTGCCAGGGCCTGGGGGTCCTGCACCCAGCCCTGGGCGGGGGAAATGGCTGACAGGCCGGCTTCTGGGGGCAGGGGGGAGAGCAGGCGCTCACTGCTGGGTGCTCAGGGGACCTTCTGGGGACCTACAGTGAGGGTCAGGGAACCTTTCGGAGCAGGACAGGGGCAGTCAGTGCACCGCCCTGGGGCCTGGCTCCACTGACCTCACTTGCCTTCAGGGCCTCAGTTTCCCCCTCTGTGCCTCCTCTTGTTGGGTACTCTTGTTGCGGGCAAGCCCTCAGAACGGCCCCTGAGCACACCTGCACCTGTAATTATCTTGGAAAGTGACTGGTCTGCAAAGGACCCTCCCACCCCTACCCCATCTTTGGTTTCAATTTGGATTTTCCCACAGCAGTGAACTAAGAGGACAACCGTGGAGCCCGTCCTGTGTGTGTAGAGAAGTGTTGGAGAGGCCGCCGCTTACCGTTCTGAATTGGCGGGCATGGTGGGGTCGATGGACACCATGGCGTCGTCCGCGGTCAGCAGGGAGATGGTCGTGTTCCTGGAAGACACCCCGCGTCAGTGTCCCCACGCCCGAAGGGACAACTGCATGGGTAGTTGGGGAGCTGGCTCGGCCCCAGGACATGGCCCTGCCTTTGTACACACACAGGTGGCTATGAGTAATTCCCAGTGCTCTGTCCATTCTGAAGGAAGCCACGGGCGCGGGGGAGCCTCTCCTAGGAAGCACCTTCGGGCAGGGAAGCGGAGTCTCCCCCCAACCTCTCATCCCTGGGGCCTCTGGGCGAGCGGTGTGGCCTCGACCACCTTATTTAAGCCTCTGTGGTCTCCGGGTGCGTGCATTGGGGGTGACACCCGAATCTCGGGGTGCTCTCAAGAACTGTGTCTATTTCCTAGCACAAAGCTCGAAGACGCCCCAGGCTGCGGGCTGTTTCTGCAGCTACAAACTGTTGTTTGTTGCAATTCCAGAGGGCGCCTCGCCTGTCCTTCCCTGCCTGTGACACTGCTGAGGTCCTGTCCCCGTCCTCAACCCGGGTCACAGCTCCGGAGTTAGATGCCGCACCCCAGCTACCCCTGGCCATTCTACAGTCAGAGAGTGAGGATAGAAGCTGTACTCGAACAGGCTGCCGACCCGGGGGAAAAGACTCTTCTGGAAGTCTGATGATTCTATGAGGGGATTACTGGCCTTTCCAACTACTTTCTGAAAATCTGTCTTCCCAAACGTTGCTCTCTGGCACCCCCCACCCCGCCACCCCCGAGATAGAAAATATCACCTGCTGGATCATCTCGGGCTGGGGGGCCAAAGCCAAAACACAACCACCCTCCTCTGTCCTTTCTTCAAAAGCAAATAAAAGGAAAAAAAACCCCTTAAGACAGTGGTTTCTGCCTAATTCTGCCCAGTGGTTTCCTGCATGCACAGCGTGGGGGAACAGTCCGGCAGGCTGGGGACAGGCCGTGGCCCACACCTGTGGGGTCTCACTCACTGATCAGAAAGGGCCCCCGCGTTCAAGGTGAGCCCACGGGGCCCTGGCCCACCTGTCGCCCCTCAGACCCGCGGCTCACCCTCTCTCCCAGGCACCCTCCTCTCTAGGGGAACTGGCACCCTGCTGGTGGGGGCGCCCTGCTGGGGCGCTGGCTGGACCACTCACCGGGGCAGGCCGGTGGCGATGCAGAACAAGTCCATGATGTCACTGGAGTTGCAGTACTTGCTAAAGACCACCTGCAAGACACAAGCCACAGAGCCGTGAGGGACGGGCCAGAGTTGCGCAGCGGGTTTCCATGGCGACGTCAGGGTCCCCGAGCTTTCTCTCCGGCCCAACCTGCAGGCTTATCGTAAAAAAGAGACGACGTAACCATGGGCCCAGGAATGCCACACGTATGTCTTGTCACTGAGTCCGTCCATACAAACCGAAGAGTTCCTTCGTTTGTTTCCTGAAAACGGTCGCGAAGGTGACGCTCTCACCCACGAGACACACCCACCCAGGACGGCGCTGCCACATGGCTTCATGACACCCCACCGTGGGGAGTCTCCAGTGAGACCTGGGGGCCATGATGTAAAAAACAGAAGAACTTTTTATTTTTTTAAGGATTTATTTTTATTTATTTGAGAGAGAGAGAGCGTGCAAGTGGGGACAGGGGCAAAGGAAGAGAGAGAATCTCAAGCAGACTCCCCGCCGAGCACAGAGCCCATCATGGGGCTGGATCTCACGACCCCGAGATCATGACCTGAGCCGAAATCAAGAGTCGAACGACTGAGCCACCCAGGCCCTCCCAAAATACCTTTTTAAAGGTCATTGGCTTAAAAAACAAAGATTGCCTTTATGGACTTCGGGGCTGAGGCTGTAGGACTAAATCCAAGGGGCATCACAATGGGAAAACTCCAAAGTGAACTGGCCGTCTCCATGGTAAAAACCATCACGTGCAGGCAGGTGCACAGAGCCTGGGGGTCCAGTTCTGGGGCCGGGAGAGAAACGCGTTTGCATCAGCATCTTTGGCGCAGGGGGTCCCGACAGTGCGTCTCTGCTCCAAATCCCTCCCTGGGAGGGGATTTCAAGTACAGCGAGGGCTCTGATCTCCGTGGCTGATGGGCCTGAACAATCCACACCATGGCCCCTATTTCCACCCCAGGAGAGGGTTTCCTTCCCCATTTTCCCTGGCTGACTGCCCCCTCCCCTCACCCCTGGGAAGGGCGGGCATCTTCCGGTGCCCAGAGACCCGCTTTCTCATCTAAGGGCCTCAGGATATCCCTTTATGGGGGCAGTGACTATTCTCCCCCATACACCCGGCCTTCCTGTGACTAACACCACTTCCTGCCTGCTGCTGGCCCGGCCACACTGAGACCGAGCTGGCTCGCCTTCTCTCCACCGTATCCACACGTGCAGTGCTGGCGTGGTCTGCCCTGTGCACCTGGTGGCCACCGCCGTCCTGGCTCAGCCGGGATCCTGCAGCGGCCCCTGCGCCCATCCCCGCTCCTGGTCCCCCTAGCTCCCAGCCCTGGTACTCAGACCCAGTCATGCCACTTTTCTGTGCAGAGACTTTTGCTGTCCCACGTGCCCCGCATGCCCAGCCGGTCCACCTCCTTGGCTGGGCACGTGAGGGTCGAGGACTTGTCCCTTCCAGCTTCGGGCCTCGCCAGGCGCCTATCCCGCCTTCACTGTGGGCCATGGAGCCCCTCCCCGGGCCCTGGCTCGGTGCCACTCCTTCCCTTTCTGGATGCCCCTCTCCCCGCGCCTGGCCGCGGGACAGAGCCTCCCCACCCCTCTGCAGAGGAGCCTTGACTTTATCTGACCAAGTGCCAGGCCTGCATTCTCACGACAGCGCGGCCCCAGCGGCCCCAGCGCAGGTCTGAGCGACATAATCGTGCCTCGGCTTTTCCAGCTGTGCCATGAGAGGTGAGGGGTGGGAGGGCTGAGGCTGGGGTCCTGGCCATTCCCCCACTGGCACGGCTCTACTTCTTTCTCAGCTGAACCTTTGACTGTGCAGGTGAAGGGCAGGGGTGGGTGGAGGAGGAGGCTTGCAGAGGGGAAGGGAGCTGCTCCCCCTGACCCCCGGCCCTGCCGAGGAGATGCTGTCGATGCTCCTCAGCTGGGGCTGCCGACTCCCAGGCCCTGGCACGAGGATTCCGAAGCCGGGGGTTTGGGCCCCTGCATCTTGTTTACCAGGCTCCCTGGATCAGCAGCTCACACCCGCACTGTGGGGTCCCTCCTGCCGGGGAGGGGTGGCTCCTCTGTGGCCCTGTGTAAGCGTCTTTGTGCGTCGTTTATCTTCCGTGGAATGGGCAGAACCGGGCAGCAGAGGGCTCCGTTCTCCTGCGACGCCTGCCCCAAGCCTCTGCCATATCACTACAGGCCAGCTTGGGACTCGGCTGGGGAGGACCACCTCGGACCCCAGGGAGGAGGATGCACTGCTCCACGCTGAGGGCCAGACTCCTGGGGACCGGCTTCTGACCGCCTCGCTCGGACCGTGTCCAGACCGTAACTCTGTGGCTGAAACGCAGACAACTCCATGGGATCGCCATGCCCGTGCTCGGAGGACGAGAGTGCATGGCAGGGGACCTTACAGGGGACACAGGGCATTCGCCGTGGTCGTCTGCAGCGGCTTCACCCACGTCTGTGAGTCTCTCGCCTCTGGAGGACGGAGTGCAGGGCTCGCCTTCCCAGCCTTGGAACGCAAATCCCAGAAGCTTTAAGACACGCAACCACAGGCCTCCTAGCGAGGCGAACTCGGGCGGGCCCAGCAGGCAGGCCGACGCTCTCGCCGCCCCCTGCAAATGGCCCGGCCGATCCCCGCCAGGCCAGCCCTGCTCGTGAGCCAGAAGAGCCCTTCTGTGAGATTATTTCTGACAACCTGCCAGGAGACTGTGAGGAAATCTGGAATAAACAGAAGGGATGCCGCTGTGTGTCCGCTGGGAGGTCATGCGCTGTCCACCTGTAGATCGGTCTCGGGATTCCTTTCCTGCACACGAGTCTACGCTTCTTTGCTTTCTCTTCTGAGCTGGCTGTAACATCTTACTAGTTCCCTTGCTCTGCTAAGGACGACTTTGGCGTGGGGTCACTCTATCTGCGTGAGAGCCACGCTGGTACCTTAGTGAACACACCGTTGGCAGGGCCAAGCAGGGGAGAGGCAGGTGCACGGTGGCGGGTGCTCCTGGGAGGCGGCAGCTGTGCTGGGACTGTGGCATTCTCCGCCCGTGGCCCGAGAAGCCCCCAGCTTAGCTCAGGTGCTCCTGGCTCTGGGAGAGGCTTGCTCAGCCCAGGAGACCCCCAGGCCGCCTTGGCAGGAGGCCACATAGCTTTTTGTTCACATGCCGAATCACTGTGCAAGTCCTTTATCCAGCTAAGAAGTGCCAAGAACAAGTGTTGTAACATGAAACGTGGAAGGGGGACATGCAAGCAGCAAGTCAGCGGAGAAGCAAAGACTCTGTGCTTCCCCCAGCTTGAGGCAGTGAGGGTGGCTCTCCCAAGTCGGCACGGCCGAGCTGCCAGACTCTTTCATGCGGTGTGACTGGCAGCCGGGATAAGAGAGCAAGAGGAGAGAAACATGAGGATTCAGGGGCCCTCTCGCCTGCTGGACACTGACCTTGCTTCTTGTGCAGCATCGGCCCGGAAATGTCCATGGGAATTTCTGGAACCTTCCTGCTGGCCCGTAACTGCCCCAGGCTGGGGTCGGAGCCGGAGAGGACCCCGCAGGCCCCCCAGCCAGGGCACGCACCTGGCCACAGCACCTGGGCTCCCAGGTCACTCGGTGTCTACACTCGGACCAGCCTCCTTCCAAGGACAGCAGTGGCAGGAGCAGCGGGAACAGGAACGGGAAGCCCAGTGTCCATCCCCACCAGCTACGCCTTCTGCCCACCGGCTCCCCTTTCACACACCAGCCCCCCCCTTGGGGAAGACCGTGACCACTCGGAGCCCCAGCCTGCCATCTGTAAATGCTGTTAATCGCATCTGCTGTCAGGGCGGGAGGAGCGACACGGGAGGGCAGGTTTCTGAAGGCGTCATGGGGGACGCGTCGCTTTAACACAAACCTGGACAGCAGCCACCTCCGTTGCCCATGGCCCTCACGGTCCCTGCGGGCTCTGGAAGCCTACACTTTGCGGGGCAAGTCTCCAGGGGGCCCTGAGTTGCCGAGCGCCCCAGATGGCTTTCTACCACATTTTGTTCGGCACCTGATTTTCTTTTCGTAGAACTTCCAATTTCCCAGCTGTGGGATTTCCAGAGCTTGAAGGAACCACCACCCCAGCTCCTCTGCTTCACTGTGTCTTGGGGAGGGAGCTACCCTTGACTCCAGAAAGGCAAACATGGAGGTGGGGGGGATCCCAAGCTCACAGCGGGATGGTCCTGCCGCCTCGTGGCACCGATCCACAGCGGATCAAGAAAAGGAAGAGAGACAGGAGTATTAGAGCACACACAGGTTGACTGGGCTTTCTGGCTCTGCTCACGCTGGGACCAGCCTTGACCCCTTCCTGTTGAGCAGCCCAGGAAGGGGGACCCGGGGCTCTGGCCATGCTGGCTGGCTGGGGCACCTTCTGACAGGCGTCCTCTGGGCCTGTCCTTCCAGGTGGAGACTTAGGCATGAGATCCAGGGACAGCAGCAGCCAATCCATACCAACCAACTGGCTGTTCCGCACATTCCCTGCAGCCCCGATGGACTGCCCTGGCTCCCGGTGGCCCTGCCGGTCCTTGCGGCCTGACCTGTGACCTCTGTCCAGTACCCCATCACCTTTCTTCACGAGAAGACCTTTTATGAAGCGATTCAGAGCTGGCGGCAGTTGGGGTGAGCGCAGGGTTGTGGGAGTCCGTCCTGGGCTGACCACACTAGGTCACCCACGGGATGAGTAAGGAAGAGCAGTCCTCGGAAGAGGGGCAGAGGGAAGGCACTGGTCCCAGAGAGCCAAGGGAGGCTGTGGTGAGGGACACAGGACAGGAGAGCCAGGCCCACCCGGGCTTCCTGACACCCCAGAGCTGGGCCTTTCCTGGGGACTCACAGCATCCTTACACACCTCCTCACGTCCATGGGCCCCATGCAAACCTAGACCTCCTTGAATTGGCATAACAACATTTCTGTTCCCGAGTATCGAGAGCGCCTCCACCAACATGCTTAGAGAAACAGGGCCGGTGACTGCAGAGCAGACAGACGGAGGCTGCCAAGCCCATGCCCACGTGGCCTTTGGGTTAAAGAGACAGGATGGGCAGTTTCTAAAGGACAGGGTCTGACTTCTCT